CAATCCAAACCCCGGCCAAAATCTTGCTGTTCTGGAACTCTGAAAGGCCCTGACCAAATTTCCTAACATCTTGTGCTTTTCGTTTTCCCTTTTCCACAAAGCTACTACATTACGGCAAATTCTAGAAGTCTTTCTCCGGGGCTTACCCCAGCGGTACCTCCCACCTCTTCCGGTTCCGTCTCTCACGTGGGTCCCAGCCGACTAACTCTGTATTTACTACTGCTGAAACAATTGTTACCATATATGAGCATGTGCCATTAGCCTTCTCCTCCAAGCGTGCCACTTGAGAATCAAAACTGTCAGATTTTTCCTGGATGGTGCTGGTTACAGTGGTCAACCATTTACCCTTTCATGATCCATAGCTGAAAATGTCTATTTTATTCATCCCATCCTTTACCGGAAGGATCCTGTTCTACCCGTCGTTATGACATCCACACATTGCAGGGCGGGAAAAGGAGAACTGAGCCTTGGATCTTCATATGCACGTGACAGATGGGAGGTTTTAAGCTCTATGTGACAGGGGTGAGTTCACAGGCAAAAGTGAAAGAAATCGATTCAGCAAACAGGAGGAATTTTTCCCATTGAAGTATAAGGGTAACAGAGGGGGGAAGAGTGAGGCGATTCTTTGGAACTTGATTTTGTACAGAGCAGGGAAATTATCTGCTCTTTGCACCTCCCCCATCGCCATATGCTTCCTTTAAAACCCTCTCTTTCTGGACTTGAAAGGACCAGAATTTGATGGCATTCATGCGTTTGAAGTCCTGGGCTATTGGAAACTTCCTCTAGTTTTGCATTTATCGCATGATATAGTGAAAAAATAAAATCCAAGTTGATTGATAAGGTTAAAAATAAAATGATGATGAGTTAACAAAAAGAATTAAGTTAGCAGGTAACTTTTTAGAAGGGGGAAGTTGGTCTTAACCTAAGGTAGGTTCTGAGACAAAATGATATGGCAAGCTACTTAGTGGGTTATACCAGCAAAACATTAAATGTTAGACATCCCAGGGCTGGGATAAGGTGAAACAAAATCAGATTTTCTTGGTATCTTGCCTTGAGATATATCAAGAAAAGCAAACAACGTGAAAGACGAGGCTGGTGGGTAGTGTTACAGAGGACCACTGGCAACACAGCACACATGCGCGCCTGACACTTTACACACAGCTCCGAGGATGCCTCCTTGCTTGCTTGTGTCCCTAAGCCACAGTCCCATTTTCTCAAGAAAAGGCATTATCTTTCTTTTCCCAGGAAAACTCATTAGGGACCCTAAGCAAAGATTCAGTGGGAACTTAAACAAACCAGGGCCACTGCAACCCATAATTTCCATCAAAACCAAGCCTGATTCTAAACCTCTGCTTTCTCCAAGCTCTTTGTCAAAATTGCTTCTTAGTTGTTTAGCCTCTCAGAGGAAGACAACATTTACACTGGGATTCGCAAATCCAACTGTGGTGGGCAGGCGAGGGTGAGATGGAGTTAAGGGGGGGCACAGTGCTTTTCGGGCTCCACGGACCCACTAGAGATCCCAATCTCTGACTTCAAGAAGACCAGCATCCTCCCCAAAAGCAGCCTGCGTCTGCTGCTGTGCCATCATGTGGTCTCGGCCATAACTTTGGGATCTGAATCTCGATTCACAAAATGAGTATTACGCGGTTGTTTCATGTAAGAGGTTAGGAGTAATGATCATGAGCACAGAAGGGTTGCTCTGCAGTAGTGATCAGCCAGGCTCTCATTTCTACAATGCTGACCGTGATGCCCGAAGTCAGGGATGCCTGTTGCCACCTTTCAGCCTGGATTCTCACACTCTCCTCTGCTCACATTGTCTATGTTCAAGTAGAAGGCAACTCTGTGGGCTCTTAGGTCCCTTGTTTGCTTTCAGAGCTTTGCATCAAATCACAGCTACCGCCAGTTCTTCTCTACCTGGTCACATGGATAGAGTAACTGGATAGATTAGGTATGGCGTATCAGCACCACCTCAGGAGCACACGCTTGAGCCTGGGCTTCTGGCTCCCCACGCATTTCCCCCCAGTACTTCACATAGGGGAAAAAAAAAAAAAACTGTTTCTGGACTCACAGTACCCCCTCTTGGCTGACACGGGGATTTTTTTTTTCTTTCCCAGAGACTTCTATCTTCTTTTTCAGTGAGAAGTCTCTCTTTCATAGCTCACTGGAGCATTAATTTCTGCCTGCACCCTTCATTTCTCTCAAGCTCTGTGCAGCCTTTCCTGCCTCGGTGCTTTTGAGAATGTAATAACCATCTTGGAGCTGAGGAGATAGCTTGGTCAATAGAGTGCTGGCTGCAGACGTGCTCAGGTGTGAGTTAGACCCTCAGGCACACAAGGGCACTCCCAGCACTATGAAGACAGAAAGAGGAGGATCCCTGAGGCTCCCTGTCAGGGAGAAGAGTCAAATTTGGGGGCTCAGGATCCAATGAAGGCATTAACTCAAATATATAAAGGTGGCAAGAGATTGAAGAAGATACTCAGAGTCAGTTTCTGGTCTACAGACATACACAAACACGTGCACCTGTTCGCATGCACAAACACACACACACACACACACACACACACACACACACACACACACCTTAAAGCAGAAATCCTGCATACATTTATAAAACATAAGCCCAATGCCTGAGTGCTGGCACACCCTGCTATGTTCTTCAGAACCGTACCAAGAGGCCAGGTACCCCTTTACTATTCTCCAAGTAACAAAGGTCTTTTCTTGACAGTATTTTCCTACTTGGGTAATTGCCAAAATTGCCCTAGCTTGTCCCCTTCTGTTGCAAATATAAGTACAGCCACAATACGGGATAAGTGCATTCTTGTGGGCCATTCTGGAAATTTCAGGATTAGTTTGCTAAAGAAGAGTGAACGAAAAGCCCCAAACAATTGTTTCAAAGCAAATGTTGGAAAATATTAACTACTGTAATTTAACACGGAAAGTTTTGGCTAGAGAGTTTAAAAGTCAGTTTGATGCCTAGATTCTGTGGCTTTTATCTATTGAACCATCAACGACTATCTTATGAAGATAGTCAGGTATAACTTGTCTAGGCAGACATCAGTTCTTCTTTTAGCAAATGAAAAGAAAATGTAACTACATCCTGATTTCATGTATTATAGAATGTACCAGAAAGTTATTAAATTCATTTGTATGACTAGACACAGCTACTTAGTGAAAAAATCAATTATTTCAGCAATTAAATGCTGTCTTTCTTGACTGTATATTCAAAGAGTACGAAATCATCTTTATGTTTCAAGGTCCAGATTTAAATTACCTTTTAAAAACATAGGTTAGTAGCTGGAGAGATGGCTGAGTCGTTAGCTCTTCTTCCAGAGGAAGTGAGTTCAGATCCCAGCACCCACAGCATTTGACTCATCCCACACGACTCCAGCTTCAGGTAATCCAATACCTTCTTCTTGCCTCCATGGGCAGCCATACCCATGGAGCATACACAAGCAGATGCACACAGAGATAATAAAAATAAGCCTGAAAAAAGCAACCCACCCAAGTGCTGAGGTCATAGGCACATCCCAGCCCGACTAGCTTTGATATGGTGCTGTGGTTCAAACTCCAGTCCTTATGTTGTACGGAAGGCATTTTCACCCAGCAAGCCATCTTTCCAGCCACAGAAGTTTTTCTTAAACTAGAGATCAGTAAGGAGCTAAAAACTTCATTGTTCTGTTCACAAAAGATTTTAAATTTCCAGTTGCTAAACTTGAGTGCAATAAGTAAAGGCGTACAAATCTGGCATTAAATAACTGAATTATTTAATGAGATGACAAATAAGATATTGTGACCATAGATGGGCACGGAAATATAATTTACAAAATTATTTTACAAAACACTTTCTAATTGGGTCATGATTCAAGGTAAGGACTGCATAATTTTTTTCTTTAATATGATATCCATATTCATAGTCCCAGAATTATTTTCCTTCTCAACATAAATGATACAGATTAAAGTCATGAGTATATACCACCTAACTAATTTCATCAAAATTCTGTGAAAATGGACATTTACATAAATTCTAGATGCACAATATCCGGATAACCACAAGACCACAGGAAAGCAAGAATGACGTCATTAAAAGGCTATGCCTTGGACAAGGTGTTTTAAACCACTGCCCATCACACTCTGTCGTTTGATCTGACACATTTGCATCTTTGAAAAGAGAAATTTTGTCTACGGCCATACCACCCTGAACGTGCCCGATCTCGTCTGAAAAGAGAAATTTATTCTCATATAATATCTATCATTTGAATGCTAACATTTGGGTGGTACTAGCTAAAACACTGAGTGATAATATTTTCAAAACACTACTTTTAAATTATTTTCTTAGGACCCAAAGGAGGAGGGGTAAGCAGCAGACGAAACATAACCAGACTGAATTGTTTAAAATGTATTTTCCCTTTAATTAAATAAGAAACATCTGTCTAGGGATTTTGGAAACGAGTGTAATCCATCCACACTCTTGCCTGTAGTATTTTGCATCCAATGTCCAATATTTTGAAAGATTTTTTTTTCTGTTAGGAATTAGAATGGCGAGCACCCCAGGTTCAGTCTGGATCTATTGTAGCGGAAGTCTCCACTCTGGACTTAGGAAGTTGAGAACTGCAAACGCTCCCAAGTGAGCCTTTTTCCAGGTCTGCACGTGAGGAACAACCCAATTCTCTCTCCAGCCCAGGGGAGGTTTTAAGGCTCCCTGGCTGGCCTTGAACTCAAAGAGAACAACCTGCATCTGCCAATGAAGTGCTAGGATTAAAAAGGTGTGTGTCCCCATGTCCCACAGGTTGCAATGTCCTAGCCCTCCCAAGCACCCACTCCCCCTAGCGCTCACCTCTGAACAGTAGGGAAACAGAAGTTGCCAGATGCACCGAAACACTCAGATTTACTTTAGGAGGGGAAAGAGAAAGCAAAGCAGCCACCAGGGATGGGTTTAGGGGGGAGGGGTATGGCTCGGGTTCTTTTTAACAGCGGCCACAGTGCGGAACATCATCACTTACTGGTGGTGTCAAACGGTATCTGCTTGCACTGCGCAGACCTCTCTAGGGGCCACGGACAATAGTAGACGGCTCCCCCTTCTATGATGTCCGGTTGACTGGTGTTGGCCTTGGGCGCCCCCACCAAGACACTGGCTCTGCAAAAGGGTTGGAGAGAGTCACTCCTGAGGGATCATAAACCTGGGCGCTCAGCCTGTGGAAGCTCGCCCACCGAACTGCTGCGGGGTGGTGGGCGCAAACACCTTTACTGTGGGAAGACTGCCGAACTTTATGCCCTCCTCGCAAGCCTGTGAGCATCAGAAACCTGATTTTGGAGGAGGCTGCTAATGGCTCTGAGTGTCTAGGTGGAGGTGGGTGCTGACAGTGCTAGAGAAGGCAAGGACAGATCCAGACTGCCTGCACCCTAAGGCGCTTGCACCCTGCCCTTAGTTGCCACAAGCTCAAGCTCGGTAGGAACACACTGTCGTGGTCCTTATTTTCACACCGGCACGAGTCTGTCCGGTCCCACTCTCCTCTTTGTATGATGCTCCTGTCTCTGAATCCGGACTTACACACAAGTGGACCATCTCCGATTCCAGGGTCCCGGGGCACATAGATCTAGCATAAGCCAGGAAAGAAAGAGACTGGTGTTAGGCAGAGAGCAGAATCCGACCCCGAGGGGGCAATTGGCTGGAATCTCAGACGCCCTTTCCTCCGGGCTGCGGGGACCACCGAGGGACAGGGACTGGACTGGAGCGCGCTACCAAACCAACTCAGCGACTTACGTGCGCGCATCAGGGATGTAGAAATCCAGCGAGTAGCCGAAGTAGCTGCCCTCGGGGCCAGTGTACACCGTGAGCCTGTCCACGTCCAGGTTGAACGCCAGCGATGCGGGGGACCACAGCATCCCCAGCGCGGCCGAGACGCAGCAGAGACGCGCGAAAGGAGGAGCCCGGCTCCCGGGGGGACGGCTGTGGACTCCCACAGACATCGCAGTACGGCCCAAGCGCTGCTCACCCGGGATGGGGAACCGTGGAGCCCGGAAGAAAAGGCCGGATGCTCCCCAGAGGCCGGTGTCCCGGGTCGGTGAGCTCGGCGCGTCCACGGTGACAGTCCTCACGTCCTGTGCGGCCCGCCGACCCGGCTGCTCTGGGCTTGCAGCAGCGGATCCCGTGCTCGACCCTCTCCGGCGGCGGGCTGGGGCGGGCGCGCTCTCGGCGCCCTCTAGCGGCGGGTCCCCAGGCTGCGGGCCGGAGCTGGCGGTCCAGGACAGCTGGACTTCTGTTGTGCCTGCTGGATTTCTACAGCAGTTGAGATCTTAGGGACCATCTAAATCTCACGGGTGTCACCTCAAGCCATTTGTTTTGGGGAAGCGGTGTTCCATACGGGACGAGAATTTACTAGTTTCTCACAACTTGGAGGCTCAGATGGAAGCATGCCAAAGTGTATCCCACCTCTAGAAAAGAGGTGTGTCACCTCTACCCTTGAGAGATTTTTAGGATCAATGAGTTTCTTCCTCTATGACTGGGATTTGAAACTGAAATGTAACAACCCTCCTTCTCTCCTATTCTGCTGACATACTAATAAAGAAATCCTGTAGGTTTTCTCCAGACTTTCTCAAAGGCATTTCAGGCACATTGTATGACTTGGTAGTAAAGCAAATGATGAAGAATGGCAAAGTCAGTTTAAGAAAGCAGGGTTTGGGTGTGAGAGTTGGAAACAACAGAAACTCTACCCCACGTGCATTAACTGTTGATCTTTTGAGGAACTTGAAGGTGGAAAGAGGAGAAGAGAAATGTGGTATAGATGTGGCTTTGTTTCCAGAACATAGACAAGTGATAAAACAGCGTGAAGCTGGGGTCACACAGAATTTAAGAGTGAGGAAAGAAACGTGGGATGTGGTGACATATCCCTGAAGTTCTAACACTGGTGGAGGTTTTTTGTTCATAGGGGGATCTTGAGTTCGAGGACAGCCTGGGCCAAGCTAGCAAGTTCAAGGCCTGCCCGAGTTGACTGTGTTAAAACAAACAAACAGAAAATCAAAACAAAAAATATAGAGGCAGAAGAGTCTGGGTATTTTCAGGAGAGTTGGGAAAAATTGTAGATGTAGGTAGGAATCTGAATAAGAGACTTAGATCTGGACCTCCTGGGAGAAGAATATAAAGGAAACATTGAAGACTCTAAACACATAGTATTAGATATTCATGTGCAAGACTGGTGTGAAAATCAGTAGCTAGGGAGTGCTCTGAAATAGGGCTGCATGGATCCTGAGACCAGGGGTCCAGGTAAAGGGATCCAGAGCAGAAGTATGATAGGCCCTCTCTAACTCTGATCCAGTTCCCCTAACTCGGCTGCCTCCTCTGGCCTCAGTGGGAGAAGAAGTGCCTGTTCCTGCAGCGACTTACTGTGTTAGGGCAGGTTGGTACCCATGGGGGACCTCCCTCTTTTCTGAGGAGAAGCAGATGAAAGAATGGGATTGGAAAGGAGAGTGTGAGGGGGGTCCCAGGGAAGACAGGAGGAGGCTGCAATTAGGATATAAAGTGAATCAATAAACAAATAAACGGAAAAAAGAAAAGGCTTAGAGAGCTAAAAAGACCCTCCTCAAAAATAAAAGAAATACATTAAGCAACAGAGATTCAAATGTTCAGTGGCAAGTTACTAAAAGAAAAAGAAAGCAGAGATGGACCAGGAAGTTCCAACCTGGTTAACAGCACAGGAGGGAAGGATCATAAAAGTTAATGAAAAGGCTAAAGATCGGGGGAGGACGAAAGACAGGAAGGGCCCAAGCTGAGTCTAAAGTTACCCACTTACAAAAAAAAAAAAAAAAAAAAAGACTGAGAGTGGCTGAATAAAAGTACAGCTCGTGTGGAATTAGTACTACTCCATACAGTTGGGGAGCCAACAGGAGGTTGATACACTTTGGGTAGACTTGACAAAAATCTCAGCCTACTGAAAAACAACATATTTACCATATTTTCTTAGCCCTTTTCCATCACAGCTCACTCTGTAGAGTAGCTTCAATTTTGTGTTTTATTTGTCCCTATTTTAAAAAATCATAATAAGCGATCTGCCAGAAGGCTCTCTGCCAAGTCATGACATCATCATTTCTTACCTATGTTGTCCTTTCCAGCTTAAGAACCTAAGAGTAGATGGTAGACTAGTTGGCTCTTTTTCCTTCTCTATCCTAAAGTCAACTTGTGTTGGACACAGAGCTCGCTGCTCGGGTTAAGTTATTGCTAATAATAAAAGTGAGGCTCCCCAGTGTGAGCTCAAATGAACCATTGACACGCAGCACACACATGGAGCTGCTCAGAGAAGTGGTGGGCACTAAGGCTGGGCATTGACCACAACTTCATCATTTCCTAACACCAGTACACGGCGATCTTGAGTGCCGTCATATTGCAGGAAAGTAGTAGTTTTATGCGGAATGTCTAAGGGGGTAGAGAGTGACAGCATGAGCCTAGATGTGGCTGTGGACAGATTTTCCGCACATAACTAGAATGATATACATTGTTTCGTGTCAACCAGCTCATCACCACAGCATCTCTGTTGTACCCACTTGCTTATTTCCCTGGGATAGCCATCAGATGTTTATTATTGTTTCACACAAGCAGGTAATAAAAACACATGCTGTGTGTGCATGCCTGTGCATATATACTTGTATATATGCATTTTTCTCTCTCTCCCTCCCTTCCCCTCAGTGTGTGTGTGTGTTTAGTCCAGAAGTGGATGTTGGGTGTCTTCCTCAGTCACTCTTCTTATATTTTGAGACAGAATATCACGGAACCTGAAGTTCACAAACTCAGCTGAACCACTGAACTGCATGAACCTCAGAAACAGTTATGTCTGTGTCTCTGCAACACCAGGATTCCAGGCTTTCCATGTCCATGCTTTCTATGGGTGCCAAGAAACAGAACTCATGTGCTCATGCTTCCACAGTGAGCACTGTGCCCACTGAGATGTCTCCCAGTCTTCATTTCCTGCTCCCACATATGTGGATGACTTTTTTGTTTCTTTCTTTTAAAATAGGCTTGCCCTTGCTTATATAAGTTATATTCTTAATATTATCATTCTACTCTTTATAGACGAGAATCCAGAGTAAGTTTCCAGAAAGCACAATACTTGCATGCTCACAAAAGCAAGAAAGTAGTGTGATTTGAGCTCATGTCTATCAAGTGCCCAAAGAATTCCTTGCCTTTTTTTCCTCATCTGGGATGACAGTGTTCCCTTCAAGAGCCAAAGATCACCTGATAAAAGCCCCACACCACAACAGCCAGGGCAATATGGCTTTGCCAGAGCCCAAATGTCCTACTACAGCAAGCCCTGGATACCTAAAACAGCTGAAGCACAAGAATATGATCTTAAATCTAATCTTATGAAGATGATGGAGGCCTTTAAAGAGGGAATGAATAACTCCCTTACAGAAGTACAGGAAATACAATAAAACAGGTGAAGGAAATGAATAAAACTGTTCAAGACCTGAAAATAGAAATGGAAGCAATAAAGAAAACAAACTGTGAGAATCCTGAAGATGAAAAACCTAGGGGAGAGAACAGGAACTACAGATACAAGCATCACCAACAGAACATAAGAGATAGAAGCGAGAGGAGCAGTCTGTTAGGCCACAGAGGAGGACTTTGCAGCCAGCCCTGAAGATACCTGATAAAACAGGGTCAAATGAAAGGGGAGGAGGTCCTCCCCTATCAGTGGACTTGGAAAGGGGCAGGGAGGAGACCAGGGAGGGAGTGTGGGGTTGGGGAGGGAATGAGGGAGCAGGATACAGCTGGGACACAGAGTTAACAAAATGTAACTAAAAAGAAAAATAAAATTAAAAAAAAAAAAGAAGACAGAATCGCAGGCGTAGAAAATATAATTGAAGAAATTGATACATCAGGCAAAGCCATGTTAAATCAAAAAAAATCCTGACACAAAACAACCAGGAAATCTGGGACACTATGGAAAGATAAAACCTAATAATGGGAATAGGAAAAAAGGTCAAGATTCCTAGCATAAAGGTCCAGAAAATCAAAGAAGAAAATTCCCCAACCTAAATAAACCCCAACACCAGAAAGTTATTGGTTAGGGTTGTCTATGCGATTCTGTCATTACATACTATTGCTGTTGCCTTCTGTTGCCTCCTCGAGGTTGATGGTAGGTTTCTGTTGCTAAAGGCACTGTGGACTTCAGACACAGGGCCACAGGATCCTGGGCTGGAACTGAGCTGAAAGCCTCATCCTTGAGGACTTGCTTTCATGGTGCCACAAGAAGTCATACAAGCCTCCAAAGGAGGGAAGCAAACAACAGTCCCACCCAGCTATGATGCCTGTGAACCACAACAATGACCACACGGCACCAGAACCCTAAAGTGCAGTAGCAGCACACAGACCTCAGCAGTGGCCAACAGCTCTCTAGTGGGACTCAATACCACCTCAACAAGATGGGAATCATGCCTGGTACTGGGAACCTAGCCAACTCCCCAGGGCTTGTAAAGTCATGGATCTTGGAGGAGGACCACCACCTCACTAAACCAGCATAATTCATAACTACACTCGAAATATTTGTCCTTACACCCACGGAGAAGTGCAGTCCCCACTCCTTATCAAGGAAGCTTCTCTCTGTAACAGATGGAGACCACTACAGAAAACCTTAACCATGCAGAGTTGCGGAGTCCAGCCCCAAGGGATACATCAACAAAACAACTTCTACATCTAAGGTTTGGGGGTCATTTCAGAAGAAGGGGCTGAACGCTTGTAAGAGCTAGGAGATTGTAAGGATCTAGCTACGAGACTGTATTCCCGAGTAATGTCAGAAGCTGCACCCTTAAACTCTCACCAACATGACTGCCTACACGTGAGCTGATCAAGGACAACAATACACACTCCGAAGTGGATGGGAGAAAGATCATGAGGCCTCAACCCTACACAAAGAGCTACAGGAAACTGAGAAATGCTGAGAGTGGGAGAAAAAGTCTCCCCCAGGGAAGAGCACACCATTTGGTTATCCAATATCAAATAAATGGTCAGCCCTGAAAGCACACACATAAGCAACATTATACTGACTGAGAAGGTTAGGGTTAGGAATATGCACACA